AGGTCGCGCGGGAGGGGCATGTGTCAGCGTTCGATGCGTTCTGTGTGCAGCTACCGTCAACATGGAAATGACTTACCACAGCCGTGCTTCACATGGGTAAAGTTATCCCGTCGAGGACCTACCAGTACACACCGGAGTGGAGTGACGAACCACCGGCAACCGACAAGGGTGTGCTTTGGGCGTGCTCCTGCGAAATTTTGGTTTGCAACCAACAATTTATTCTGATATTTTTGCCCAATAAATAGCCACAATCCCAAAAGTCGCTCGCTGTAAACGACCTCAAGGAGGTCATCCAGAGCGGTTTTTGCAAAAGTCGATGGAAACGATTTTGATTGGCTACTTTTCCAAAAACCGCTGACACAAAAGTCGCTCCGAACACGCCCTTAGTTGAAATACATAGGATGTCCGGATACGGTGTACCGAAGCATGGACATGACTGTTTATGCGGAAATATTATCCGGATGTGTTGAATTAGAAGGACTGATTTGCTAATACTACGTAGTACCTGGTAGTGTATGCAAAATCAAAATCACTGAGCGTATTTTCATAACGTTATTGTATGCTAGCATTCGACCAATGAATTGCCTCGATTGGTTTACGACAACATGCGCGCCATCCACCGACTCCCGCTGCCGCCGCCACCGTCGGCGTTTCCTCCGTATGCGGCCAAGGACTTCTTCCGCTTTGAGCTGGTGCATCAGTCCACCAAATCCAGAGCCCGCGTGGGTCGCATCCACACTCCGCATGGCGTCATCGACACCCCAGGGTTTGTTCCCGTCGGGACCAACGCCGCGCTCAAGGGTACATCCATCCTCCTCGAGGTCCTACTTCATCACTATCCTAGGCGTCACCCAAGCGCAATCCGATGCTTCCGGTGCCCAACTGATGTTTGCCAACTCGTACCATCTGCTTCTTCAACCCGGCCCGGACGTCATTCGCGACGCCGGTGGGCTTCACTCGTTCATGGGTCGCTCGCGTCCCATTATCACAGACAGCGGCGGGTTCCAAGTGTTCTCGCTCGCGTACGGCTCCGTGCACGAGGAGTTAAAGGGGAACTCGTCGAAACAGAACAAGTACCGCACCACGGCGAACCCGACGTCGTCCGTCGTCAAGATCACCGAAGACGGCGTCATCTTTAAGTCGTACCGAGATGGAAGGCGCATCTCCCTGACCCCGGAGTCCAGCGTCCAGATCCAGAAAGCGTACGGTGCCGACATCATCATCCCGTTCGACGAACTGCCGCCATACCACATCGCTCCCGAGAAGCTTGTACAATGTGGCATTCATCAGTACGCTTCTTCATGTCTGAATGTACTCGATCCTTAGGAAGCTAGTGTCATGCGCACGCATCGGTGGGAAGCGCGAAGTCTCCATGAACATCTGAAACAGGTCAACCACCAAGCCATGTACGGCGTCGTCCACGGAGGTACCGACCAGCGGCTGCGACAGATGAGCGCGGAGTACATTTCGTCGCTCCCGTTCGACGGACACGCTATCGGAGGGAGTATGGGAAAAGACCGCGCGGAGATGATGGACCTCCTCACGTTCCTCCGGCCACTGCTGCCGGATGCAAAGCCCATCCATCTGCTCGGGATCGCCGACGAACGCTCCCTCCATGAATGCGTTCCCCTGGGCATCGACACCTTCGACTCATGCTACCCCACTCGCGCCGGTCGCCACGGGTCGCTGTTCTCGTCGTCCCGAGGTGGGACGCTCCACATCACGCGCGGCAAGTTCGCCAACGACAAAGGACCGATCGATGCAGACTGTTCCTGCCCGGCATGCACCCAGCACTCCGTCGGATACATCCACCATCTCTTCAAGGCCAAGGAACCCACGGCGATGATGCTCGCGACGCTGCACAACCTCCATTACATGGTGCGGTTGATGGCGAAGTTCCGACAAGGCATTTTTGACGGCCGAATTTAAGAACCACAAACGATTGTGATTGGTGCAAATTTGGGCGTTTGTTCATTTATTCGTGCGTTATCAAATAGAGATAAATAATGCTTATTTATAATTTCCTTCAAATACTACTACAACCTCCATGAATAAATAATCAATGAATCATCTATACAAGTTTAAATGCATTCATTTGAAATACCTTCATTTAACTACTACAACAACCTACGTGAATAAATAATACATGAATCATCTATGCAAGTTGAAATACCTTCATTTAACTACTACGACAACCTACGTGAATAAATAATAAATGAATTATTTATGCAACTTTAAATGCATTCATTTAACTGCGTCCTTTTTCATTTCTCCGATTTTTTCGCCCGTCATGGATGCGCCGTCATCATTAGGTCGAAGTGGGATGCTACTCACGTCCCGGGGCGGCGGTGGCTCGATGCCGGCGTCGACTCGGACCTATGCAATGGAAGATCGGCATCTGTCTAGGATTCTATGGGGAGACGATGAGGACGTTGACCCGCCTCCTGAAGTGCATCCGTGGCGGATGGTCACCCCGCGACTCAAGACGATGGACGTGGCGCTCGTGCTCTGCTTGAACATCGGAACGGATCCTCCAGACATTGTCAAGCCGACCCCGTGTGCGAGGAAGGAGTGCTGGGTCGAACCATTCTCGATGCCGGCGCAGAAAGCGCTCGAGACGATCGGCAAGACGTTGCAGTCCCAGTACGAGCGATGGCAGCCCCGCGCGCGGTACCGGCAGTCTCTGGACCCCACCGCCGACGAGATCAAGCAACTGTGCGTATCCCTCCGCCGGCACGCCAAGCACGACCGCGTCCTTTTCCACTACAACGGCCACGGCGTTCCCCGACCGACCGCGAACGGCGAGGTGTGGGTCTTCAACAAGAGCTACACCCAGTACATCCCCCTGCTCGTGTACGAGCTCCAGGTATGGGTCGGCACGCCCAGCATCTACGTGTTCGACTGCTCTGCCGCGGGGATCCTTCTCCAGCACTTCCGCGCCACCGACGCCATCCTCTTGGCAGCATGCGGCGCGACCGAGGTGCTGCCCATGCACCCGAGTCTGTGCGCCGATGTATTCACGTCATGCCTCACGACTCCCATCACCGTTGCATTACGGTGGTTCCTTTCCCAGAACGAGAAAAGCATGGGCCACCTCGAACCCAGTGTCATCGATCGCATTCCAGGTCTTACACTATATTTGTGCACACTAATTGAAGTCATACACTAATTCGATGTTCACTTGGTCGAAGAGTGGATTTGATTGGCTACTTTATGCGTGTTCTCGGTTTTGATTATATCGACGACTGATTTGGTGCTGGAATTTCGAATCAACTTGGCAATAGAATAAATACCCTTCGAACAGTTCAAAATCAATTAAGTATATGGTGCTTTTCACCTCAATTGGGACTTTTCATGTCGCCAAATCGAATCCATTGGATCCTATTTAATCTTGTACAAACTATATTATACAACTCTTAGTATAAATATTAGTTTTGCCCCAGAAGGAGGGGCAAACGTACGTTTGGATTGGCAGAAATGTGACAAATCGTGAGATTTGATTGGCTCAGGTGGTTCTTTACTCGATGCTCCAGTGTCGAATCGATTTGACGAATATATTCCAAATGACTATGACGGCTCAATAATAAATCTTCCCAAATATATTGTGCTTTCAAGTGAAATTTCATTGTGTTGTGGCGTGGTTTCTCGTTGGAATAATTTAAATCGATTTGATTGGGTACCTCCGATGAGCTCAAAATTATTAGCCAATCAAAACCTTCTCAATCAAATTCAACAACCAATCAGTTCGAATTTGTATCAAATCGACAATATACTTATGATATAAATATGATAGGCAAACTCACCGACCGAAAGACTCCCCTGGGCGAATTAAACTGGATTTTCACGGCTATTACCGACACCATTGCGTGGAATTTGTTTCCGCCGGCGCTATTCCAGCGATTATTTCGCCAAGATCTGCTGGTGGCGTCGCTTTTTCGCAACTTTTTACTCGCCGAGCGCATTTTAAAAGCCCACGGATGCACCCCCGTGTCGATTCCCGAGCTGCCGCCGACATCCCACCACCCGTTGTGGAGGTCTTGGGTACGAGGATTTTTCCCCTTTTCACGGGAGTTTTGGAGGATGGTTGACTGTATATTGATTGGGAGTTTTTCCCATTTCCCTGACCGCAACGCATGAACTGACTGGTTTAAAACTTGTTTGTGGACAATAACTCCAGACATATAGAAGGATGTTTCCCATTCTTGTCCACGATTGGAGCGTGTATTTATATATACATATATATCGACGTTGTTTTCTCTTTATTTTTCATACCACGGGGATTTTTTCCCTTTGTGTCGTCACTGTCGCCTACGTACTATATATATATATATATATTTCAGCGAAATGGACACTTTATATGTATATAAAGTGTCCATTTCGCTGAAATTTGGACTTGGCAGTTGGCTGCTTTGAGCATCAGGATTTGAGTCTGATTTGAAACTACCTTGTTCAATGTATGGTATACCCATTTGACGATGAACATTTGGTCCAACTATACACTTCTCGATGATTGGACGAAATGTTTCGTTCGTGTCCTGTGATTGGCCAGGACATTTTTTCTCCCCTCCCTCGAATTGTCGTATATCTTTCTTGGAAACATTTACAATTATATATATATATATATATATATTCAAATCAAAGCTTTCCCCCCTCACATACATATACACACATGTATATCTGCAATGTATTGATATATCCGTCGTACTTTTATGATAGGACTTGGCAGCTGAAACCTGCTTATCCCAACTCCACTCCCCTACTAGTACTACTACTAGTACTACTACCTTGCCATCGTCTCCGATCACGTTTCATCACTCTCGGTTCTTTGCCGAACAACTCACTGCGTTCGAAGTATGGCTTGAGTTTGCCTCTCCCGCCAAGCCGCCGCCGCCGCAGCTGCCCATCATCCTCCAGATGCTGCTCAACCAGGCGCTCCGTCTGCGGGCGCTCCGTCTGCTCACGGCCTTCTTCGAGCTCGGCCCGTATGCGATCAACCTGACCCTGAACGTGGGGATTTTTCCCTATGTGGAAAAGTTGCTGCAGAGTCCGGCGCCAGAACTCCGCCATGTGCTTGTATCTATCTGGTGCAAAATCCTCTTGCTCGATAAATCGTGCCAGGTCGACCTCGTCAAGGTCCACGGGCACGCGTACTTCCTGCACCATCTCGTGGGCACGTCCCCCCTCTCCACGTCGCAAAAGATTCAGTCGCTGGCGGTTCTAGCCCGACTCTGCGACGGATACGTACCCGCGCAGGAGCTGCTTCATCCGCACATTGGCGCCATCGTCCCGATATTAACTGACGTCGACCCAAACGTTCGGCTGTGGGCATGTCTTGTGCTGGGCAAAAGCTGGGAACTTTATCTCAACATGGAGGTGTCGGCGGCCTCGGCGGCGCTCGTCCATGTTGCGGCATCGGATCCGAGTCCGAGTACCCGCGCGGCCGCCGTGTTTGCACTGGGTACTTTATGCAAATCTCAAAGCAACGGAGTCTTGTTGGCGGCGCAACTGAGTGGTAGCCTCGTCGAGGATGCGTCGCCGTTGGTTCGCAGGGAAGGAATCCTCGCGTACGCTGGTGTGGTGCTACGGCCGGGGAATATTTCCCCCTTGGAAGAAGAAGAAGAAGGAGATCTCAAGTTCCTGCTCCATGTATTAACCCAAGTGCACCAGAAAGACCCGTTTATACCTATACGACGACTCGTCAAGATGATCTTGGCGAGGGTTCCCACGGTAGCATTGGCCTCGTCGAGCGTTGTCCCTAGGGAAAATTCCCTGCCAACCTCGACCAACCTCGACATGACTGTGGGGAAAAATTCTCTGCCTGCCCGGGACAAGGCCGATTCTGTTGTGCTGCCCCCCCAATTGCAAAGCAAATTGTACGCGTGGGCGGCCGCCGAGTTGTTGACCCCTAGTGGGAAAATTCCCCGCGAAGATGATCATGATCCCACTGGTTTCGACCCGTTGAGCTCGGAAGGCCAGCTCACGATGCAGCGAAGTCGAAACTATGCTTGTATTCGAGCCACGGCAACGCAATTGGGATTGGGCAAGGACGACGGTACGTGTTTCAAATGGATTTAAAATACATCCAGATTGGATTAAAAATGGATTTAAAATGTGTAGACATTGGCCACTACGGTCTCCACCTAAGACAAAGTGCCGTGTTCAACAGCAAGTCGGAAATGACGTCGTTGATGGTGTTTCACCCGTACGACAGGTTGGGTATATGTTGACAAAAACATTTTAAATGCATTTTAAATAATCATATTCTGTCGCCCAGTGTCCTGGTTGTAGCCGACGACAAGGATCAAGTGGCCGTTTGGAACGTCGACACGAATGACCGCGTGCTCCAATTTGGCAACCAAAACCCCGTCGGGTACGTGTGTGTTTTATATTCGTTTTAAACACCGTCTGGTGGTTGTTGTCCCGTTTTAAATACGTTTTAAATTATTCTTTGTGGATTCGATCGATAGATCCCGCGTGACCTCTCTCGGGTGGATCAACCAAGAAACCGAGTCTATTTTGTACTGCGGATCGGACGATGGCGTGGTTAAGCTGTATGAGAACGCGTCGTCCAATATGGTGCTAGCGTTTGCAGCTGTGCCGGATCTGGCGCCTGGTACCCGCGGTTCTGGGCTTATTACCACGTGGCAGCAGCAGTCGGGGCTGTTTTTTGCCGGTGGTAACTCGACTACGTTACGGGGATGGCAGCTCGACCAGGAACGGTGCACGATTGCGGTACGGGGGTGGTTTTAAATACATTTTAAATGTCGTTTGTTCCGGGTGATTGGATGCTTAATTTTTGTTTTTTAATTAATTTTTTAAATTAAAATATCTTTAATTCTGTAGTGTCCTTTTGCTTCGTTCAATTGACGTATGTATTATGGCATGGGATATGTGTCGATTAAACAAAAAATATGTCGGCTGTTCGACGCAAGGATTTAAAATCATTTTTAAACAATTTGCCGATGTTAAAAAATACTTCGAAGTATAAAATTATATATATATGTATTTATGCATGGGAGTCGAATTGTTTTAGTGGGTATACATGGGCGGGGACGTAGGACATTAAAGCAACAAATAATTAAAAATCGTTTTAGAATGGGACACCCCAATGTGTGCCCAATTAATATTTCACTTATTATTTTTGATTCAAAGTAATTCGAACAATTTGGTTGTCACGTATTTTTGATCTTCTGATCAAACTCAGTTCGAAAGTCACTCGACGATTCTCAGTAGTTGCCAACTAATACGTCCGTCGAACCTCTTTTTATTTATTTATTTTACGAAAAACACGATATTGGACAAAATACTCAAATTTTGGATCCAGAATATTTCACTTTTGGTCGATTTGTTCGATATTGCCAAAATATATTGATGATTTTGGTCTTTGTTTCGCCATCCAGACTCACCGTTATTTCTGTGAGTGTGTGTGGAGATGCACCCTGTGTTTATTATCGCCGTGTATGTCAATATATATAAATTTATCAATATTTTGTTTATTACTATTTATTTATATATATATATATTGATTTGTAGCTGCCCACACAAACCGAAGCGTGCGTGACCAGCTTACACAGCGACGAAAGCATCGGGTGTATGGCAGCCGGCTTTGGCGATGGTACCATCCGCCTCTTCGATGTCCGCAGCAATAAGGCGCCGATGGTGCTCAAAGAACATACGAGCTGGGTTGTGGGTAAGTAACCTATCAATTGTTTATTTGTAATAAGAGTCGGCGTTACATATATATATATATATATTCGAAAACTACTGTTTATAAAGTTGTATGTGTTTATGATACATTTCCATGCGGGGTGTGTATTGTTGATTTATAGATCTATATAACTATGGATAGGAGATATATCTACATATTATTATAACGATTCATAGGAGATTTATATATTATTGTAACTATGGATAGGAGATATATATATTATTTTAACTATGGATAGGAGATATATATATTATTATAAATATGGATAGGAGGACGTCACGACCTTTCGTCGTCTCTATATATATATATATATATATATATATATAATATATCTACCATTATTCTTGGTGGGCACTTGTTTTTATCTGTGAACATCTGATTATATTTTATTTTAAATTGTATATTATGTACATCATCATGGTAATCAAATACAAATAATCTGTACATTATTCTCACCACTCAATGCCCTTACTTGTATAATGCACTACGACTTGTATGCATTTATCTATCTATTTATCTTTCCCCTCCACACAATGCTAGGTATATCATCAACCGTCATAAATCTCCACTAAATATATATATATTATATATAGGCGCGCACTTGTACCAGTCGAAATACGAACTCTTGTCAGGGTCAGTGTCTGGAGAGCTAAAGTTTTGGGATTTGCGATACAACAAGAGCAGTGTCAAGACATTTGAAGCCCATCGCAGCCCCATGACGGCGCTGGCAGTGCACGCGTTCGCGCCAGTGTACGCCACGGGGTCGCATAACCAGTTTATCAAGGTATTCCGCCAAGACGGAGACCAGTTGGCGCTGATTCGGTATCACGAAGGGTTTCTCGGCGAGGTATTATTTACATATGAAATATTATGTCAAAATGATTTATATGTTTATTCGTAGCGCATTGGCCCTGTGAGTTGCCTTGCGTTCCACCCGCATCGACTGCTCTTGGCGGCCGGCGCCACGGATTCACTGATTGCCATCTATTCCAGCGATAAATAAGTTAAAAAAATTAGTTATACTACTATTAATACCACCAAGCCTCATAATTATACTGATGGGGGGGTATAAACTGGTACTACTATTAATACGTAGTACTAGTATAATTCGAGTGAAATAAGCAACAAATAATACACGAAATTATTATGGTGTACATAGTCCAAGTATTATGGTTGGTGCGATCGTTTTTCCTGTCAGTAGAACAGTTTTGAGTGTTTTGATTGGTCATCGAAATGTAAGCAATCAAAACCCAGAACACTCAAGAGTTTACTATTATTAGTAAGGACTTCAAAATATAATATTACTTAGTAACTAGGAAATTGAATTAGACTTGTACCCAACGAACCGACCGACTGACTCATCACCCGTCGTCCGAGCCTTTAGCGACACTTGTACTACTACTTCCAGGGCTACTAGTACACCGTCGTCGGCCATAAAGTTGCACCAACGTAGGAGCTTTATAAAGAAAAGGTCTGTAGTAGCCAGGTTGTCATAGAATCCATAGGACAGCAAAACAATCCAATGCCCTAAGACATTTGAACGATGTGAGCATAGATAGGTTTGCCCAAGACATTTGAAAGTGGGGAGCGCACTTAGCTTCCTTTCATATTCCCGACGCAGAGACGAGGTGCTCCCAGTAGCTTGGATACTACTCGATTGGATTCTCGGTCGAGCCGATGTTGCACCCAAATCATGAGCGAACTACACGGACCAGTTGATCATCGCGTCGCTCGAAGTGCGGTTTGGCTGGTTTCGTGACGACTTCGCCGGCACTAAGTCGAACAAGTAGTTGGCAGGTGGGAGGGGTGATCCCATCACGTGATTCCGAGTCACGTGGTGAAAGTGCCACCACTAGGTGTTCTTGATAGTATTGGATGTTGTTATGAGGAATGGAGAGTTCCGTGGACCGTTGTGCAGTACTGTATGCATTGAGAAGTCGCTGACCTGCATCGCGCCTTCCTCGCATGTGCTTTGAAAGTGTGACTAACAGTCTGACGTTAACGATTGATTGACTTCGCTCTAGATGAAAGACCATTCATTTTCCAATTTCCACCATGTAGTTTGCACTCCTTCTTCTCGCTTTGACCATGGCCGTCGCTACCTTGGCTCAAGACCAAATTGTCCCACCCAAAGTCGCTGGGGGCGATGAGGCCCCTGACGAGGGTTTCGAAATTCTCGGCGGCCAGGAAGCCCAATTCGGCCAGCACCGTTATGTGGCTGGGCTCAAGAAGGCGCCCAATAATAAGACCGAATGCGGCGGCAGTCTGATTGTCGTTTTGACAGCGGCGCATTGTTTGCGTCTAACTTCTGCTGTGGTTGTGGGCACGCACTATTTCACCGGTTTTGCCGACGGGGAACTGGTTACTGTCACCCAGGAAATCAAAGATCCCGATGGACTCGTCGACGTGGGTATCCTAATCTTGGACCGCAACATCACGACCATCCAACCTGTGAAGGTAACGTTTCCTGGAGAACATGGTGAAAACTTCAAAGAACATGGTTTTGATTGGCCAATATTATGGGGTTAGGTCTACGGTACAATATTCAACGCCTGTCCACTGACAACAACAATCATTTCAAGGCGTCCACCCTTGCTCTGTCGTGCACACGCAGTAAGCTGCTGTCAAATGAAGGCGCCATGTTCCGTGGGTCTTGTGGGCATTGCATGGGCCTGAGTAATTCGGTTGACACCGTGATGAAGCAACAGAAACCTTTACAATGCAACATGTGTACATGGTTGCAGATTCCACTTCCTGGTACGTTGCTATCCGACATCACAAACCAAACTGTGTATGCATTTAACATTCGTATGTAAACAAACCATTTTCAGCATTATACACTATGGAGCTACGTCAGAAGCAGGAGAAGCACTAACTAGTAGTCCACGTAGAGCCTCCTTTTTTGCCTTCTCTCTCAAATACCTTTGTCGACGCAAGTGTCGGGTCTTTTCAAGGTCTTTCTGTTGCCACTTCGCTTGGGAGGTTAACGTGTTCGATGCACGTCTGGCACGTTCACGTTCGTTCTGGAGCACTTTACGACGTTGTTTCACATCCTCGTTTGAATCGTACTTGCGTTGCTGTTGACGAATTTTTGCCTTGTTTTTTTCGTAGTAGGCTTTTCGACGTGCCACCGCATGAGCCTGAGAAGCCGATGGGGTAGTAAATGCTGATGTCGGTGATGCTAAAGGATATATAATATGTTAAATAGAAATTCTGCAATACTGGTGTAAAATACATAGAATCTTACAACGTGAGCTACTTGGCACACTAATATTTCGTGTGCTGCATAGGGGGCTGCCTTGGAGACTGTGTTGGGTAGGGACTACGTTGTGAGGTGCTTTGAGGGCTGTACTCGGGACCGCCATATTGCGGGCTATAATGTGGGTTGCTTTCCGGGATACGCTGGGGGCTATGTTGGGGGCTGCGTTGGGGGCTGTGTTGCGTTGGACGTGCTGCCGACTTAGCTATTCCATTGAATCTAATTACTATCATACATTTACAATTTGTGGTACGAACGTGGTAGCGCCAGTGGTGATGAAGTGTACGTTGGGTCTGTTAGCCATGGCTCGTGGTCTAGAGAGTGTTCTGAACGCACATTGCATAAAGTGTCGATGTACCTTGTACTTGAGATGTAGCATGTTGTGTAGTCAGTGGGGGTCGCACTTGTAGGACCCTTTTGCCGTGTAAAACAGTATGTATGCGTTTGTCGCAAGCAACGAGGCTATATTCGTGGACATACAGACCTTGTCGTTCATACTGAACCATCGCCCACTTGGCAATGTAGTGACCCGAAGTAAGTGAACTCCCCAGATGTAAGACAACTCCTCAAAGCTCGTACACAATATCCAATGCAAGTATTTTAGTAATCTATCGATCAAGTATTTTAGTAATCTATCGATCAAGTATTTTAGTAATCTATCGATCGTGGTGGTTTACACTGTACCACGTGATCCACTGTGGCAAACTCACTCATGTTCAGCTCTGATGTGTATTGGATGGTCTGGCCGTTCTTTTTATGGTGCGTTTTTCACCGACCACGAAGCGTAGAACACGCAGCACTAATACATGGGGCCACTCTGCAATGGCACTTGTACGTACAGCTGGGCATCGGCGATTGCAATAGGTGCACTCATAGGAGTTATCGCCAGTTAACGCGGTGGCACCAAACGCTCTTCTTATGCCGTCCTCAACAGTGACAACGTCTGGAGTGACTGGAATGTCGATTTCGAGAAACACCTCATACGATCTACAGTACTAGATTAATAACCTGATGATAATTTGCTCTACCTGGCCTGGGTGTTGCAAGTATTACATTCAACAATGTTGAACACTTCGCCACCGAAAGCTGGTAGACACATGGACATGGCTGACACGAACTGAAAAAGAAACTCATGCGCGTCTTCTTGGCGTCCAGTACCAAACGATAGCCACACGTCAGCTAGGGCGATGCGGGAAACTCACCCTCCTGTTGTGCTGGGTTGCTTCAAGGGCCTGCAAAAGGAAAAGAAGGCAACTCACGTAACGCGACGTGCGGCCCCCCATTACAAAACCGATGCCGACGACCCTGTACGCTTTCTTGGACCGTTCGAACGACACATCGAAATCATTCGTTCTGTGGTTCAAGGCTGTCACTTCGCTGAGCTGGTACGCGTGCGCCAGAATCAGTGAAGTCCGTGGTCTATGCGGGAAAGACTTTTCTCTTGCGAAGTCCATGACCAGTCAACAAGACCCCAACGTGCGTCTCGAGTACCACGAGTACACCTTCCACGACCGAAAAACCGAGTCCGCAAATTACCGCACATGTCGTTTGCACCATTGCCAAGAGCTGTGGGATAGTGATATTTGTACCAAGCATCACTTCGACACGTGGATCGAATACGTCGAAACTGCGATGAAGCATAACTTCAACGAGGACCTTGTGTTCCCCCAAATACCGTTGTCACGAAAGTACTGAAACCTGTCTGCGTCCGTATTCAACTGGGGTTATGCCATGTCGGAGGGATCTGTCATCAATATCTTGAACGAAGTTATCGCGACCATGCTCCGTGATGTCGACGTTTGCTCGACAGCCCACGGCGCAGTGCTGAAATGCTTCGAAAACGTATACATGACAACGCATACGTTCCGTCGTGGTTTTGCACAATGGAAGTTCTTTCACGAGGACAAAGACAAGCGTTGGAGTTTGAAGATGTTGAAGTGGTGGGGTGGTTGGTCGGAGCAAGACAAGTGCGATGTCATCATGAAATACCTTCTCGATAGCATTTATGTTGCCGAAGAAGTAGTGCTTGCTGACGCGATGTCCCCGGACCGGAAGCACTTAGCCGGCTGCCCGACCACGTGGATCTAGAGCACTTATGAACAGCTCTCGGAACTGGTTGCACCGAACGAGGACGGGGGGCAATTAGCTATGGCGAACGTGTACAAGTCGTATCTTGAGGGCATGGAAGGTCGTGTCATGGCCCGAATCGACGACATGGAAGCACGCCTCCTTGATCGTTTTGGCCCCACGAGCACCCTACCTCGTCACATTGAACCACGCTTTGATCCTTCGAATACCCCAAATGTCGTGGTTGGACCTACTAGCAACGATCCAGTGTTGGAAGCTCGTGTCATGGCCCGTATTAATGACATGGAAGCACGCTTGCTTGGTCATTTTGCCCCCCAAGTAACCTCCCTGTTCACCTCGAACAACGCTCAAACATGAAGTTGTCATTATTTACGAGATACCAGTACACTGCTACCAATCGGAGGAAGTACTTAAGTAGCTATTCAGCTCCTAAGCTTATGCGATCTATTATTATTTTGCGCCAATGGAAGTTGTGCTTGGCGTGTGTTCGTCAACCAGTTTCACTGAAAAAGCTATCGTAATGACCAATTCCCGCAGCCTAAGGACCCCTCAACCATCACTGTGACGGATATCGACAATATTAAAGGTATATACACGCGTATTTCCTTGTTGCATCCTCGCCTATCAAAGTTACCAAACCTTCATAAAGCAAATATCAGCCATGTCAATACTATGGTAGGTAGTCACCCTAATCAGCAAACCTAATCGAACACTTGGATACCTTCTTGCGAGGGGTTTAGGGGTTCTGCGAATGGCAAATTCGCAACACTCACTGCTACCACACACACCGTTAATATTTGAATTGTGTGTACCACATCGGCAGCCCTATTACCCGGTACCAGAAATGCCATTTGAAGTGACTTCTGGAAGAATGCGCAGAAGATTAATTTGATTTGCTGGATTTTGTACGTACAGTGAAGTCTGAACTACCTGTAGCTTTGAGTACTTAGTGATTAGTGTTAACTCTTTGTGGCTTGCCGGGATAACGATTCATATATTTTGATGAACCCTGCAATGGAAAACGCAAGAATGACGTAGAATGGCCCCAAATACTATACGACAATTCCGGTCTTGTAATGAATTTCGTTTCCTTGAAGCAACCCCGCAGAATAATACTACGTAGAAGTTGGATTCTACATTAAATAATATTCATATTATTTTCTTGGTGTACTAGTGAGAGAATATTGGTGCAACAATAGTTGCCACAATTTTGGATGAGGTTTATTGGTGCAACAATAGTGCTACAATTTGGATGAGATTTATCAAGCCATGGATAGCAAGAGAACTATGACCGTGATTTGCTAAGTCTAGCGTCGAAAACAGTTGTTTCGTAAGCTTGCAGTTGGCCTCAAAACCAGTGACTGCGTGTTTAGTTAAAAATGAGCCATTTTAGAATGTATCGACTCACAATTCGAAGTCACAGAGTCATGCTTGGTGTATTAGTGAGAGAATATTGGTGCAACAATATTGTGCTTTCGAGTGAAATTTCGTGTTGTGGCGGCCGTGTTTTCCATCCATCCTATTCCGTCCAACACATAAAAAAACATCCAAAAGCCCACGAATGTATGTACCAGTTTCATCTGTCTTGGGATGTATATTTCTTGCACAATCCTTCGAAACATTTGGGCAAACATTTTGGCGTGGGTACAGTGTCTGCTAAGCTTACATGCACAATCGGACGCGCCTGGTGGACGAGGTCTGTGAGGTCGGCTGGTGTCGACGCAGAGTTCAAGCACTCCAAAATATATTTTGTCCATCATATTATATACTGTCACCATACGAGCAAAACAGGGCGCCGTCTTGTTCGGATAGTTGGCATTGTGTTTACAACAGGTAGATCAAATGCGGCTAAAATAAACTTCGTATATATTATTGTTTCCAGGAATAAGCGGATTCGTGAAATATATATACATATAGTACACACGCGACACCAAACCGACAATACCTGCTCCTGCGATTGGACAACCGACAAGGAATCTTAATTTGATTCGTCGACGGATAACATCGTCTTGTGATTGGACGAGTATGTTGTCGCTGCGGCAGCATATCGTTAACATGTAACATGTACACAATGTGATTGGACAAAACCTCCAAAAACGGGGGTTTCATTGAAACCTCCATTCAAAGCTCCATTCTCGTAAATATTTGGGGACGATACACGTTCTTGAACATCATTCTATCGCGGTCGTCGTTCTTGTCACAGGGCCGATACTAGAAACCATATGTTATGGAACCTCAGCGGCATTGTTTCGTGCCTGCTCGACCAGTGGCGGTGTGTAATCTTCGGTTTTACTTCGCTCAACGCTTCTTACCTCGTGCTTCGACCGAGCTTCTTCGAAGTTCGGTCCTCGTCTTCGTACGCAGCCCTTATTATCCGGATCCCCCAGGGAGGACGGATAAATCCTTGCAGAAATAATCCGGGGAAGCCTGGGATCGAACCCACAACTTTTGAGTTTAGAAACCGATGCTTTATCACTGAGCTATTTTCCCTTCCCCTCAGTATTGCAATGGACTGATAATTTGCACCGCAAAAAGCCCAACTCCAGCCAGTAAATTAACCATCATTCGCCCACGCAGCTATCTCCTGAGTGAAAACCCGCGTTAATTTCGACAATTAGGTAGGCTTATTACCAGGATGCGCAACATGCATGCATATGTACAGCACTGTACAAAGTTATCCTTATAACCGGCCGCCTGCGATCAATGCTGTCCTGACAAGTTTCGGCGCCGCAAGTCATAAGTTATTGACTGCGGCATACATACCGTGCCAGGGCCGCCACAACTGCACTCTCGGCCTACGCTATCACGGACCCTGGAGGCTCGCTGCTCTTCGTTTATGCACCGATGTCTCTATCCGGCCAATTAATCAGGATACTGACTCCAGCAAATCCAGACCAAGTCCACCCAGTGTTACGCTTGCTCCCCACTTTAAGGCGTTGAGAGGAGGGAAAAAGCTCAGTGGTGAGCATCGGTCTTTTAACTCAAAGGTCGTGGGTTCGATCCCCGGCTTCCCCGGTTTATTTCCGCAAGGATTTATCCGTCCCTCCCCTGGGGAATCCGGATAACAAGGGCTGCGTACAAAAACGAGGACCGAACTTCGAAGACGCTCGGTCGAAGCACGAGATGAGAAGCGTTGAGCGAAGTAAAAACCGAAGAGTACACACCGCCCCTGGTCGAGCAGGCGCGTTACAATTGGCGAAGCGGTTCCATAACATGTGGTTCTAGTATCGGCCCTCGCGGAGGAATGTCTTAATAATGATAATCCAAACTCAATTTACCCACTTTAAGGCTTCCTGCTTTGCCCATTTCTTCCACTGTTAACAGTCGACAAGACCATCGAGGGGTATTTATTAATTCGCATCATTTTATAGCAGTGCTTCCAACCATATGCTCAAGAATAACCTGCCCACATAATTTGATGGTAAGAAATATGAAATGATACGAGTATTATGTCATTACAGGTGACCCATCTACGATATCCGTAAGAATGCTTTGGTTGTCGTCGCTTTCTTTATCGTCGCTTGATTCGTCCTCGCCTAGTGCAGGCTCATTTGCAGCCTCGTCGGCGGCTTCCAGCTCAAGCAGGTACGTATTGAGATGCACCACTTTCTTCTTTGTGTGGCTAATACAACGGTAGATCACATCGCTTGGGAGCTCACTGAAGGCCAAGTCCAGGCGCTGCCGAACATCTTCCATGGTCGTTGCCGTCGTGTATTGCTGCCCGACTCCACCCTTCATGTAGGCCCACACGTACTCAATTGGCTGCAGGTCTGAGTGGTATGGAGGCGTGTCGACAACTTCAAGTTTCGCGCTCTTGCCATCGCCACGACCTCAGGTAGGACATTTTGTCGTACATGTGCTTGAACCTTCGACCAAATCGCTGATCGGTACTCATTCGAGGACGCTTCAATTCCGAAGCGCTGGCAGGCCACCAGCAAGTCTTGCTTCTTCCACGTTCCCTTGGGCGTGTCGTGTGGGACGCCTTTGTGATACGAGGCGTTGTCCATGACGATGACGGCGCCAGACGTGCCAAGTACGTCCAGTTCATCCATCAATTCCTTCATCCAGTTGACGAAGTAGGCATGGTTAAATATGCCGTGATAGTCCTTGGTTTGCCGCGAACCACCACGGAACACCCTTGTCGCGAGCAGCTTGGATCCGTCAGGGCCGTCGTCGAGAATTCCGGCAATGAAGCATAGCCGCTGCCCTTTATGCTTGGGCTTGGGTGCCTGGTCGAGCTCGTCCTCGGGGTAGTACAGGCTATCGTTGTGCCGGACATAGTTGTGGTGGATGTACGATTCGTCCATATATATAACAGGTCGATGAGGTGTTAATTCAATCGTACCGGACATATATTTAATGTACTTATCTCTAGCTCATCAGTAAGACCATATTTAACCTGACCTTTCTTTTGTCCTCGTTTGAATCCACGACTCAAAAGATTGTCCTGAACGGATAGTAAACACGCTTTTGTATCTTTGTTGTCGGTTTCATCGTACGCAACATGACCATGCTGTTTCAAAACTGTCATAACATCTTTCGCTACGACTCGTGTTCGGCTCGCGGACGAATCCTACAATGAGACGCAGCACTGCTTTTGTCTTTGGAACTCGAGATGTATGAGTAGAATTGTTAGCAGGAAGTTGTTTGACTAGAAGTACTTTTGTATCTCTATACTGCTTCCATACCTCATGAACGACCTTTTTACTACGTCTGAGGATTGATGCAATGTGTTCCGATGCGGAATCAACGTTTTCACGTCGAAAGTGTGCGTGCAACCGAAGTATGTCCAGCCGTTCTTCGTTTGTTAGTGCTCGTGGTCGATCACTCTTCACGAAGATGTGATCTCGTCGTACTCGTCGTCTGTGATGGTCGAGTTGCGAGGCATGTCAAAGTGAAACTGATGGTGTGCACCATGTATGCGATTATCCGCGACGAATTGTTCGGCAATGAATGATGAGGTTAAACTCTACACATGTAATAGTATTAGTTTTGCCAATATAGTAGATTTGATGTGTAAATCTGGACCTGAACTGCAATGTTTTTCAATGCAAACTCGAAGGGAATTAAGTTTCAAGTGAAATTAGCAGTAGAGGCGGAATCGCCGTGAAAAACTCCATCGGCGTGTGTAATTTGGTCATCCGAAATTGTCAACAACGTAAAAAATGTCGTAGTGACCCTTGGATGGTCTCGTCGACTGTAAGTTCTAAAAATTTCTACTACGTAGTTGAATATTTTCTCTGGACCTGCTAACGTACATGGCCAGTTTATGGTGCACGGGACAGTTTAAGATGCATTCAATTTGGCCAATGGAATAGCTTGATTTTTGGAATAGCCAATGCAATCACTAGAAAAATGAAATCGCCAAAAACTAAGCAAAACCCGCATACATATTTTAAGCTTAAACCGTGCACCATAAACTGTCCCTCCTATTTTGCCTTGACATGAGTGGAAATCGAAGTAAACGAACGTAAGCTGATATATATTTAAGCCGATTACATGACCAGAATAATCCCCAGGCTCGTGTGGTGTGTGTCATGGTGGGGAAGGTTTTCTAGCCTGAGGTAGCTTGGTATATGGCTGGAAACTTTGTCGTAAAGTATGCGCGTGTGTCGATGGCTTATTGGCCGTAAGTGGGGATGGAGGATTGGACCCAGTGGAGGCACTGTATGGGGGCACTAAGTAGCCGTGGGATGGATGTCATGGTAATTTCTTCTGGGCGGAGTAGAGTGGTCGGGGGAGGCCGACGTAGCCAATGGATAGCATCGACTAGTGTTAGTGCTGATGTCCAGTGCTGCTGGACAGAGGTGAGTAGGGCTACTGTGTTGCCAGTGATGATGAAACCAATGTGGATTGGGCTGGGATTGCCGGAAGCGAGTTTGCCCCAGGGTGGGGTTGGAGTGTGGTATTTGGAGGAAACGTGGTGGAGTTTGATCTGGCCCGGGGGAATGGTGAGGAGCCGTGTTGTTTGGAGCTGTTCAGCCATTACATGGCCGCAGGAGCCATCGTGAACGACAAACCAGTAGGTGGCCGGTGTTTGGTGAGAGGTAGCGGCCTGTATTGCCGTGGTTAGGAGGCGCCACCAAGTGGAGGTGTATGGGTTGTGTGTGGCATCAATCCACCAGTGATGGTTTGTTGGGGGGCGGGGGATTATGCAGTGGGGGAGTGTCCAAGTGGGCCCTGAAAAGTAGCACCATTCGGGCCGCCCATCCACTGACAAACCAAAAGTCGCGTGGTGCAAGCAGGGGGGTGGAGCGTAGGGCGGTGTGATATAACCAGCGCGGTAGTAGGGAGCCCGACTTTGGGCACTGGTTAGATTTCCAGGATAGCTGGGAGGTGGCGAGCATGAGGGCTTCTGGTCGAGGGGTCCAAGTAGACGGTGTATGTGGAGGGCATGGACACAGCGGTGCTCGGTAAGGGGGATCATGCACATGCCCGTGTTGGGTGATGGGTGTCCGCCGCGGGTTTTCCATTGTGGGCGATTTGGTCCCGGCCATAGTTGCGCTATAGCCGTGCCATGTCCAGGAATGTATATGTCTTGGTCAGGGAGTCAGCCTTGTGGAAGGACCGCTTGTGTAGCGAGGAGGATGTGTTGGGATAGTGGGACGGCCTTGGGGCAGGTGGGAGTTGTGAGGCGGTGTTCCTGCGTCTCGGAGAGATCGGGGCACGTGCGGCAGTGAGCCTCCCAGCGCGGTTGTATGCGGTGTTTTCGAGCGTTGGCATGTAGCGTGTAGCAGATGGCACGCCAGTAGAAGTTGAGGGCAGGGGGGTCCCATTTACAGATGTCCCCGGTGGTGGGGAGGCGGAGTGGCTGAACAGTCCGGGCGGGTGTCTGGTTTCCGGTCTTGCACCTTGGGCCAATCTCGACGACCGTACACTGCACCCAGCCATGGGGCCGTCGCTCCGGTGACCGGCCTGTCGTGTTCATCCCGGAGCTCCCTGGAGTCAGGGATAATGAGTTGTGCATCATTCGTAAGGGGAAGAAGCTGGTGGGCTAGGGTGGCAAGGGAGTCCGCTTCAGCGAGCAATATGCGTTTTGTTCGGAGGGTGGGGTCAGTCGTGTCGTCGGGGTCCTGGTGCGAACGGATCCAGTCGCCGGTAAAATTTCCGGTGTCTGTGAACAGCGCCATGAGCGAGCGTAGTTCCACCCTGTAGATGTTGCTGTATCGTGGGAGGCCGCCGCGGCGTTTTAGGGATCTGGCGAGAACAACCAGTCAAATGGCTTTGGTGTTGTCGCAGATTTGGAGCGCAGCATCTCCAGAGTGATGAAGGCCCGCCAGTAGGCTATAGAGTTCACAGCGTGTGGGTGTGATGTGGTTGGCGTGGACTTGGATGGACCCAGCGAGGGTAGTACCGTCTCTGCCCATGTAGCTCCATGTACCGTGTGCAGCAGGGGTTCCTTGGTGCCTGACGCTGCCGTCACCTACAGCATGGGTGCGTACAGCCCGTCGAGGGTATGTAGACCGTACGTCGGTGTGGTGTGGTGCGGAACGACGCGGCAGTGTAGGATGCACGCCTGGTGATACCAAATATCCACAGTCGAGACAGATGGTAGTGTCCGCTAAGCGGTGGCAGGCGGTACAGGCCGGCGTTGAGTGCAGGGGAGGCTGGTGCCCAGTAGGGTTCGGGGCCCGGTCAGTAGTGCCCCCGGCAGTTGAGGCAATGATAGTACGATTGTTTCCCCTTTGTGGGTGATATGTGTGCGCGGGTTGGTCCAGGCCGTGTCGGTCCAGGGAATAAACATGAGGCGTTGGGCTCGGTTGGTGGGTAGGAGGCTGCCTGTAAGGACAGCACAGCCCGTAATGGGTACAAGTCGGTGGTGGCCTCGTGCTTCGCGCGGTGTTGGGGAGTACCAGATGGCCGAGGCTTTACGTAGTTCAAGCCAGAAGGTGACGGCAATCTCCGTGCCCTGCTGGGTTTGTCGTGTTTGGAGACTGGTTCGACGTCCAATGCTGTAGCTAACGGTGGGGGCTCGGTTATCCTGTTGAGTAAGGTGGTGGGGGATTACTAGCATGGCGTGGACAGGGATATGTAGAGTTTCGTAGCCCTGTGTGGGGACAAAATATGTGCGACCGAGTGTGTGTGTGAGGTACGGTAGGGACGTGCGATATGGCGTTGGCCTGGGGGAGGCAGGAGTTGGGTGGCAGGGTGGGGCCCCCACTGGAGTGTTTGTTGCCAAAGTACCGGTGGGGCGGGTGGCTCAGCTTTGGGGATAGCATTCCAAATGGGAGCGAACCGTTGGAGCGTGAGATTTGTCCATCCAAATTTCGCACGGAGAGACGCTAGGATGAGCAGCATGGTGCCCTTGTCATTTGTAATGTCCCCCACCCAGCGTACCTTTTTGGCGTGGAGCTTGTTGATGGGATGAGGGTCGTACTCAGGGCCGGGTTGAGGTGTGCCCAGATTATCATTGGGACGAAGTGGAAGGCTGGCGGCTGGTTGGTGCCACTGCGTGGTAATGGTGAGGGCGGGCTGGAAAGTGGCAAGGTCCCGGAGCATCGTGCCAAGTAGTGTGCAGTCTGCGGCAGGTGGGGGTATGCGGATGGCGAGGGGGTGGTCGGTAAGCCCGCTATCCAGTTCGTAGGCCTCGAGTGATTCCATGAGGAGGTCATGTGTAGGGGAGCCATGGTCGTTGGCAATACGGAGGAAGTGGTATAGGCGTTGGCTGTCGCAGTGGACCAGTCCCAGTCCATCGGTAGGGTCATAGGACCACTCGGTGGGATGGTCGTGGGGTAGCTTGAGGACCCGGCGCGCTGTCTTACGGAATAGGGTGTCAAGGGCTGGGGCGATGCTGATGGCATCACGATGGCAGTTCGGTAGAGGACACTCGGTATCCAGACGGAGTTGATGATGTACACGAGTTCTTTCTTTCTTAGCCCCCGGGGGGCTACAGCATCGGCTTGGGTGTTGAGTCGCTGCCATATCGCACGCGCGGTCTCTTCCCATTGGTTGTCGGTGCCTTGATGTATACCTAGATGGCGGAAACCCTCTGAGGGTGCGACCACGCGTATGGGTTGTGGAACGCCAAGCCCGTCGTTGAGGGTAATGGCCGGTGTTGGGGGGATAGGTAGAGGAGGAAGGATTTGTCAGCACCAAATACTCCGTCGGACGCGGATTGGCAGGTGAATGTGTTGGAGATGCGTGCTCAGTCTTGTATGCCAGCATAGGTGGTCGCGATGTCGAGGGCATCATCCACGAATAAGAGGCTAGGCTGGAGATGGTGCGGGCTTGGGCGCCCTGAGGGTGTAGGCTGTGCACAATGCGGACAGGGTCCAGGCCACTGTGTTGCTGGCGGAGGAGGACGTCCATATAGTATCCGATGTGCATGACCGCTTGGATAGAGCCTTGGCCCAGGCCGAATTTCCGGATGCCGCCATCGAGCCAGCCAAAAGCCGTGCGGATATCGATTTGACTGGCCCCAAGGAAATGGGCCATGAGTTTGCACGGGAGGGGGGGGCACCGAGTTTACGGTAGATGTATTCCATGAGCCAGCCTGGGATGCTATCGAAGCATTTGAGGCAATCCTTAGAAATAAGGAATAGTTCTTCCTGCCAGCGATCGGTGCGTTCGATAAGGAGTGAGGTGAGGACAGCAGCGTCCTGAACTGTGCAGTCTCGCTGGAAGCCATGTTGCATTTCGTGGTTGGGGATACAGGGGGTGATGTAGTCCCGTATAACGGTAGCGATTCGACTGCTGAGAGCACTTTGGACCGTGATGGGGCGCCAGGGTGGAAGTCCAGGGTCTAAGTTTACAACCCCGTGGGCTGTAGCCGTTTTGGCAAGGTAGATCATCTGTTTTCTTCCGAGTGTCGGCGGGACAAGGCCCGTGCGTAAGATGAGATTGATTATCACCCGTTCCCTGGCACATTTGCATGCAGGGGCAGCGATCCAGAGTTCCTGGGAGACGCCCCCATATCCTGGGGATACGCGTGGCTGCGGTCGCAGCGGGCTTGCATGTCTTCATCGTAGTGGTAGGTGTCCCAAGTAGTGCCTGTAGGGGTTTGGAAGGCCCGTGCATCTTCGTCGGGCCAGACGAAGATGCACGGGCCTGGAGGAGCCAGTCACGGACAAAATGGTGGATATTTTGGCGGTCGGTCTCAAGTCCTGAGTCAAGGTGCCTGGGACGCGTTGTTTTTTCCGCCGGGGGGGTCCAGTTTTCAAGGTGGCGGCAGGACTCCGCCACTTCGTCACGGTCGGAGCTGTATCGCGGAGGTCCATCGGTTGGGCGGACCATGACGCTTTGTATAGAGATAGGCGGTGCAGTATTGCCAAGGGCCGAGCGGAGAAATTTCCGGGTTTGGCTGCTGTTAAACCAAGCCGTACGTTGTTGCATCCGTGTTTGGCGTAGGCTGGTAGTACGCCAGTCCCGACGTTTGCGGCAGACCTTGGTCCAGCGTGCGAGGCCCTCTCTGAGCCATTGGCCCCAGTCGGCAGTGGGGTGCTGAGTGGTCGGCATGTTAGTCCACCATTCACCTACGGCAATAGCATCGGTGCGGTGCCAGCACGTGGGGGGGAGAAGGATGGGGTCACGGATCCACTTGAACCATTCCACTAGGCGGGCTAGTCGGGTGTATTCCGTGCCAGTGCGTGGGGTCGCCTCGTGTAGGCGCAGCAGTTGGCGGAGCTGTGCGGTGCACCGGTTGGCTCGCTGTATCGCGACTGCCCTGTTGAGGGTTTTCCTGGTTTGGCTGGTTTCACCCCATGGTGTCATTTGGGTCCGGTTGGGTGGCAGCGGCCATGGGTACGGAGCATGTGGACCAGAGCAGGAAACTCATGAGCCACCATAGTACAGACCAGGGGCGTTGCCGGGGTGTCGTTGGTCTGACCCAACACCCGGGGTTAGTTTGACCCCATGGTGTCATTTGGGTCTGTCCCCATGGAGTCATCGGATCCGGCTGGTTGGTTCGGTGGGACGGAACCATCGGGTGTGGGGGCAGAGAGCTTCAGCGTAGGCTGGGTGGGGTACGCGGCTGGTAGTTGGGCCACAGGGGTGCCAAGGGCGGCGAGGCCAGTGAGTTGGGTGGAGACACTCTGCATGGCTTGCATAAGGGTGCGTAGACTGGATTCGATGATGGGAAGGCGTTCGGCCATTGCCGCTTGGTGAGTGCCCTGTTGTGTGATGGTGGTTTCCAGGCGATTTTGCGCCTCCGTCAACGTGCGTTGGTCCTCGGATTGTTGGTGTTCGGCGGCCTCACATACTTCTAGGAGTCGCGCATCGAGACTGGTGAAGGCGGCACTGGTGGCCGAAACTAAGGCTGTGAGGGCCTCCTTATCCACTCGGAGGGTATCTACTTCCTGCTGGAGTGGGGCTGTGGCCTGGACGATACGGTGGTCCACATATGTGGAGAGTTCCCGTCGGAGGTGTGGGACGAGGTCCGCGGTCGGGGCTGGTGCGTACAACGGTAATTGTTGAGGGGGGTATTGCCAGGATTGGGGTGTGTGGCTGACCGTGGTGGAGTGTTGAGAGACAGAGCGGCCTGCTCGAGTGTGCACACTCTTACTGCGTGATCGTGCTCCCGGACTCATGGCGCCACGGGTAGTGGGTTTATGTCGCGATTTGCTGCGTGCACGGTCGCGGGGATCAAGGTAGGTGAAGCGGTCGCATGGTTTGCCCTGGTGGTCAAGGCGACCACAGTCGGGACATTGCTTTGCCACCGCCGTGGTACGTGAGCGTCCCATGAGTACGTGAAGCTGGATGGCTATATTGCGTACGTAGAGGCGGGTGGTCCCATGTGGGCCTGAGGCATACCATAGGAAGGCTGCCGGGGAGGGGGAGTCAAACGTGAGGGTTGCATAGTTGTCGATGATGTCCACATCAGGGGAGAGGAGCTGGGAGCCATGCAGTGCCGCCAGGATATCCTCGGGGGTGGTAATGGTAGGGAGAGGGCCAATTCGAACTTTGGTGGCCACAAGTTTGGTTGCACTGACGGCTAAGGGGTGGAAGAAAGTGGAGGAGGGGTTGTCCCAGCTGAGGTCACGCAGTGGGTGTAGCTTCATGGAAGGAGGAACGTGGTCCAGGCGGTTTGTTCCAGCCGCATGTAGGCGGTAGTTGGCGTAGACTGTTTCGGCCATGATTTGGCTGAGGATGACAAGGCGGAAGCGGTAGTTGCCCTCTGTGGGCCAGTTAACACACCCAATGGCCGCCCAGTGGTCCCGTGGACCGTGGGCTCCGGACATACGTGAGTAGTTCTGTACGATGGCATCGGTGTCCCCAAGGGCGCGGAGGGCACACAGGATGTCAGCAGGAGCGAGTTTAGACCGGTTGCGGTATTCCAGCTGGTGGTATGATAGCCCGTTGCTGAGGACTCCAGCATATTGGTAAAGCATAACGACGAATATGTCCCCCAGGAAGAGGTATCCCCGTCGTGGGGCTGCCCAGGCCAAGGCAGTGCGCTGTATGGGGGTTCTAAGGGGCTGCTGACCGTGTTCACTGATCCCGCCGTGGAAGGTGAGACCGAAACGTTCCTCGCAGATGGTCTCGATTTCTTTCCGGAAGTTTACGTTGCTGAGTGGGTTGTCAGGCTGCTGGAACGACGGATTCATAGAGAACTGGATCCTAACCATGGTTTCGGAGTAGTGTTGCTCGATGTCCGCAATCTCCGCGGGAGAAAGTCCTTCGAAGAGGTGTGCCTCGCGTTCCCAATACATGGTCATAGTGCGGTATAGGATCGGTTGTCCTTCATCGCAGAGGTTGCGGAGACGTGGGAATTGGAGGGTAGTTTTTGCATCATATTCGTCAAGGTCTTCCTCGTGTGAGGGTGGGTCGGCGTAGTCCTGCGAGGGCTATGTAGGGTCGAGTGCACCTGGCTGGTAGGACGGGGTAGGCGGGTAGAGCATAGCGTGGTGGCGTTTGGATGATGGTAGCTGGAAAGAGGGGTGGGCTAGGTTCAGGTCTGGTTCCACTTCGGAGATGGGTGGGTATTTGAGCTGGTGGAGGAAGTGGTCCCGTACGCGGCCTGGCCCATTGTTTCCATTGGCTGGTCTGGGGCCTGTCCCAGTAGGGTGGTTTGCTGGTCTGAGTCTTGTACCGAGGGTGCCGTTTGTCCGGCGGGTTATGGATGTGGTAATGTCCGGGTGTCCGGGGATGGTGGTGGGCTAGAGGGGGGTGGGTCAGAGCGTGGGTGCATGTTAGATGTGCCTGGTTGTGCAGTGTGCTCATGGTGGTGAAGGCACATGGACTGGGCTTGCGGAATTTCTGGCTGAACGGTGCCAGATGGTTCTGGTGATGGGTCTGCTGGGAGTGGGACATTTGTGCGATTGTGTGCCCTGGGGGTAACACGTAGCCATGGTGAGACATGGAAAGGATGAGGTGGCTCGGAAGCTCGTGGGCCATAGGGTGGTGCATGTGGGTGTTGGAGTGATAGCTCTTGTGGGAGCTGTGGTGCAGTTGGTTAGTAGCAACCTGGCAGTGGTCGGAGGAGGTGGAGAGGCAGTGGTAGGGGAGGGTGTGGGGCAGCTGGTCGGGAGAGTGGTGGCCTGGGTAGGAGGGGGATGTGCTGGAGTAGTGGGATGATGACGGTGTGCATTGGTGGAGAGTCCAGTATTAGTTGCAATGGTACTGAGTGGCTGTGGTGGTAGGGGGTGGATAGGTTGGCGCGCTTGGTATGTGGTTCCTGTTGTGTTATCGGGGTTCTGTGTTCGTCGCCATGCCGCGGGGAGCGAGCTCTGCGTGGAGGAGCTTTGTGGAAGCTTGTAGGCGGTAGGTGTGGTTGGCTGGGCTGTAGCTGTTGCGGGACATTTGGTGGGCCGTAGGGCCGGGTTACTAGGTGTGGTAGGCCGTTTGGGTTGCTTTCGAGGGGGTCGAGGGCGGATGGGTTTGTGTAGAGGTGCGAATATGTTAGCGGCGGCAGTATTGTGTTGGTTGTGTCCGAGACAAGGCGGGATGGGCAGGGATGTTGATCCTTCGGCCGCGGAGCGGCTTGGTGGGATCTGATGCGGTCGCGGCGTGCAAGGAACTTGCCCGCCGCTAGCTTAGTGCGTAGTTGGCGTGCGGTTAATGGTATGGCAGCCATGGGGTGCGTCGTGTCGGAGTCTGATTCGGGTTCGGAGGAGGACGTTTGGAGCGGGGTGCGAATTTTTCCCGTCGCTGGCACGAGAGTGGGCGTAGCAATCCCGTTGCGGGTGATGAAGAGGTAACCATGGGGGTCGGTGGTGGTAGGGGTGAGGACGATGGCGGTGGTCGTCTTGGGTCTGGCGGATGAAGGGTCATGGTCGTCGGTGGGGTGTGGGTGGTGTGTCTCGGGGCGCCGCGATCCACTTGTGGGTTACCAGGTATATTTGGGAATGGGAGGAATTCTGCTTTGCGCTTTTTGTCGAAATCTCACAAGGAATTCAATCTTTGCAGAAGTTCTCGATTAATACCAAGTTCAAGTTGTAAAAACTGCATGAGTATGCTCCACACAACACAATCAAAATTCGGCAAATCAATGATTATTTACGTAAACGTTCTTCACCTCTGCATCTCCATTTACTTTCGCAACGTGAACCACGGTACGTGTTAGCATCTGCGCAGTGGGGATGCTTGTAAACACTTTGTGACCCCCCTTCCACCATAACACTAAATAATCAAATTTTCAATTCTACAACTAACGTCACTAAGATCACTTATATTCTTGCGAGCGACCTCACGGGTATCACAATACACGAAATGAATCTCATCACAGAGCTGATTGAGACGGATGGAGTGCAATTGCCAGCTCAAAAGCCTATCCTATGGTGGCATCAGTGAGCTATCGATGTAAAATCTAGCAGTGCATAAGTACTCCAGCGGTAGGATTCATTACAGTGAATGGTGACGCTGCGATGTCCACAGGAGTGTTTTACTGTACTCTGGTGTCATTGGCGAGCAAGGACCGAGGTAAGTATGCCTGATGAATAGCTTGTCTTGCGCAAAGCAAAGTAACCAAGGTAAATCCACGTACTACACTGTACTAGTACGTGTACTGTAGGCCCCCACCAGCACATAGTGACGTTTATTCGCGTTCATCAGCTAGCTAAGAAATCTTTTGCGCCTACAGCTAGCGGACTTCGCATACGTCGAACGTTAGACGTCTGAGTGCTGGGGGATGTTGCGGCAACGTTCTGCTCGGTCAACAACCAGCACCGGGATTTTGTTCGCGGCGGTGGGGCGGAGGGTCTGCAGGTCGGCGAGGCACGTGAGGCGCTGGGGCTCGTTGGGGGCAGTCTTGAGGTCAGATTTGAGGAAAACAGGACGATACATTCGAAAAAGCAAGGTACTACGTAGTACTATACTTGGTCGTTGTATTGAAATGGAAGAGATGTAAGCTAAGAGGCTTCTATTTTTAACCCATCAGATAGTTATCGGATACTATATACTATTACTACTTCAGTACGTACTACTATTAGTAAATTGTCTCCACGGCCACTTTATCTATACTAGTACCACTAGACCAATGACCGAGCACTTCAAGAACAATACTCTACTTTCACGACCCAATATACTAAAATCCGAATACATTCGTCACACAGCGGAGATTTCGGAAGTCAACGAGTAAACAAGGAATGTAAACGCCGATTTCAATGGTACATTGTATTTTTGGAAGTTTTAAACACCAGCAACAATATCATTGCATTTTACAGCTGTACACTCTAATCAAAAATCCACTGCCACCGGGGAGGTAGTACAAGGGATAAACGATGTTTGCGCCTATCTTGGGACTTCGTGGCTGAATTATTACATGTGTGTCCTTGGTCCGCTCCTCACGATTTACATACCATAATAGGTATGTAAATCTACTTCTTGCAATTGGGGAGCGGACCAAGGACAAACTTATTAATTATACACATGTTCGTCGTCCTCTCGCAATGGTAAAAATTTAATATGAACGTTAGTCAATGCTACACAGGCCTGAAAGAACATACCATAGGTCTCCCGCTTCCATGCATATTTGTCGCCGCCAATGGACCACAACGTATTGAGACGGCCAAAAATGTTCGCCACAATGATACGGTCGCTCGCGATATTGTCATTTTGGACAAGTTCAGCATGGGACAGCATGCCGCCAGCTGGCTTCTTCGCCGGAGTAATCGCACGAGCACGTCGGTGCAATCCTTGGTATCCCTTGTCGGCCAAAATCGCCCAAGCTGTAGGATAGTCGGTCACCAGTGGGACAGCATCAAGCATCGACTCTTCGTTAGAGGTCTTCTCAAGTTTCTCCACGTGGAAGTCGATGTAGGACTCACAGATTACAATGCTTCTGGGGGGCGCAGTGGTAATGTTGATGGCACCGTTGGGCAGCACACTGACTTCCTCCTTGAATCCATAGTGGCCGTGCTTTTTGCTAAAGTACAGCTTCTTCTCCACAATGGACCCTCCAGGTGCCTTGGATTGCTGAAAGGTGATATCAACAGCGTACATCGCAGCAGGGAAGTTCTTGAAGCGATGTCCACTGGTCTTTAGGAGCTCCACAGTCCACTTCGACGCAACGTTGTCAATGTACTTGTGCTTCATGAAGGGATCGACACACTGGAGGGACCCCGTGACTTGCTTGGAGAAGGTTGATGACTTCACCTTGAAGACAGCAGCGATAATGTCACAGGAGAGTGGAGGTTATGCACTTTTGAGTCCCCAATAAACGAATGTCAACAAAATATCGTATTTACTGTTAATGCATAATAATGGCTCTATCGTCTGGCAGATGGTTTGGGGGCTTCGGTTCTGTAAAACCAGTTTGCATAATGTTACGTGTGATTAACGACGAGTCAGGATAAAACTCGGAATCCAACG